CTGTGCGTCGGCGAGTGGGGCCCGGGCCGGCTCGGGCTCCTCTTTGCAGCCGCTGGCCCCTTCCTCAATCCCGCTTCGGGCTGCAACAAAGAGCAGAAGCAAAGCTGAGCCGCAAGCACCGGGGACCGCGAGGGCACAGAGCCCCCCGTGGTGCCCGGGCACCCATCAGGGGCACTGGGACTCACAGCTGTGTCGCACCCCGGCTAACCCCACGTGGGAGCTGGCTCCGAAACCCAGAGCTGCCGCCATGCAGCATGAAATCCCCCCCTTGGGAGGTCCATCTCCGTCCCCTCGGACGCATGTCCACAGAAGGGGAGGGTTTACACAGGGCAAACAGGTGAGGACCCATCTCCATGGCTGGGACCACCTGCCCACACCGTTCTCGTGGTCCCGCTCCCCTCCCTCCTCCTGGGAGCCGGCAGACCCCGAGGCACTGCTTCAGACGGTGCTTCAGTGCCCTCCCGCCTGCCTGCGGAGCCGGCAGCTCTGCCAACCGCTTTGGGAGCACCAGTGCCCCGACTTCACCCTTTGGTTTCCCTGGGTTTTCCCCAAATCCAACATTTTCCACCTAGAACAGATGAGCCTGACTGACAGGGTGATGTCCTGCCTGGGCTGAAACGCCTGGGATGGGCCTGGGGATCCCCTCCGCCGGCTCCTGGCTCCCGGGAGGAAACGTCGGCGTGAACCCGGAGAGATGTGGGATCCCTGTGTGGGGTGAGAGACAGCGGGCCCAGACCCTCCCGCGACTTCCCATGGGGCAGGACAGGAAGGAGCCAGTTTGATCAGGGACTCAAAGGGTCCGGGTTTATCCGTGCCACTGCACATGCCAAGGAAACCCCGGTGAGACCACCAAGTCATTCTCCAGGGCGATGGGGACGGGAAAGCCAACAGCCCAGCGCGATGCCACCACCGCCACCAGGTCCTCACCCCTCCGACCAGCGCAGGGACCAGGGAGGACAGACCCACACCCATCGCCTGCCCATGCCAGCCCCGAGCCCTCAGCCGGAGGGAGGTGAAACACCCTCCCTCCCAGCTGGGCTGCCCCCGGACGGCGCATCCCACTCCTGCCCCAGGCACCCCGGGGCTGCCAGCGCCCATCCTGGTCCCACCCACGGCACGGCACAGGCATGGCACAGCCACAGCCATGGCACAAGCATGGACACGGCCCATCACGGGCACAACGGGCCGTGGCCATGCTGGCACTGCCGGGTCTGGTGTAGGGCACCCTTGTGCCGCCATTGAGGACTGGCCAGCAGCTCGGCTGGGGGAGATCTCCCCGGTGCTGATTGGCCAACAGCTGAGGCATGGGCACTAGCTCCTGGCACTGATTGGCTGACAGCTCTGCCAAGGCAGGACCCCAAGATCCAGTTGGCCGATGGCTCTACCACCACAGGTCTCTCCGGGCACTGATTGCTCGGCTCCTCTGCCATAGTAGATCTCTCTGATCTCTGATTGGCCAACAGCTCTGCTGTGGCACACCTTTGGATTCTGATTGGCTGATACCTGTACTGTGACAGGTCTCTCCAGAATCTGATTGGCCAACGGCTCTGCCACGGCAGATCTCCCGGGGCTCTGATTGGTCCAATGGTTCTGCCGCGGCAGCAGCCCCCAGTTCTGGCCGTGCTGGCCCTGCTGCCCGAGCACCCTGTCCCATGGCACCCGCACGGCCCCGTGGTGCCCGAGGGCTCTGGGACGGCCGTGCCGGGGGCCGTGCTGGCTCCCCAGCATGGCTTGGCCACCTTTGAGCCCAGCCGGGGCCCCCTGACATCGGCACCACAGGAAGCTGGAAACCTTCACGGCCCCTTTGGGAATCGGCCGCGGGGCAGCTTCAGCGGGACCCGGGGGCATCAGAGACGAGTGTTGGCGCCCTGTGGGCAAAAGCCCATGGGGAGGCTGGGGCCAGCAGTGGGCAGTCAGCCCTGGGGCAAGCACGGTGGCTCAGCCCCAGCACGGGGGCTTTCTGTAGCCAGCCCCCAGCCAGAGCCGCACTGAAGCAGCCAGCTGGGCCCCCGAAATGAGACACAGCTCACAGCAGCCCCGGGGAGGGACAGTGTAATCATTCACCCAGGCCTCAGAAATAGCCCCAGCCAGCCAGGCTCCAAGCCGGTGAGCGCAGAGGGCAGAGTCCGGGTTTCCACTCTGCGTCATGAGCCACCGAAACCAGCCCGAGCGCCCACCTGCCACCCGCCGGTGCTGGGCACGTGGGGGCCCGTGTGCTCAGGGGGTGG